CGTGCCACATCTCCACGCCTCTTTCGACGTTACACGATCGGCGATCGCGACGTAGCGACAGATTCGCCGTTATCACCTCCAACAATATGTATGTAAATATTTGAGAAAAAAATTATTAATATAATATTTTAAATATGTTTTGTATAAAAATAGATAAAAATATTTTTTATTTGAAAGTTGCTTATATAAATTTTACTTGGTAAAATAAAAAGTTTATTTAAAAAGATTCTTGCTTTATAAAGAATTAATCAATTTCTTGCACTTTATAATAAGCAAAGATAAACTTCTCTTCTAATAAAAAGTTCTTGCTAATTATTTATTATTTATATCTTTATTTAAAAAACCTTTTTTTACAAATTGAAGTATTATGAAAAAGATTTTTTTTGATTTATAAATATTTTTAAATAGTTTTTAACAAAATATATTATATTATTAAAATAAATTAAATTAAAAAAAACGCTTATTTATTTATTATTAATTTTTGAAAAATTTCTTTTATAGTAATTTTCTCAAAAAAAATATCTTTTTTTTTCTTTATTATACCAGTTATGTTATAAGCTCAAAAATATAAAGACTTTAAAAACTACTATTATATTGGAATAGAGCCTTTGATTAAAGATTAAACAAGTTTGAAAGTCTTGCTTGCTCTTTAATTATATAGAAAAAAGTTTATAGCAATTCTTCTTTATAATTTTGTCTTTATATATTTCTTTTTTTTTAATAATTCCAAATACTATTCTTATATTAATTCTTAATACCATAAATTTATTTCTAAAATCACATTTAAGCAAAGTTACTGAATCTTTTGTTTTAATCAAATTTTTTTAACTATTTTCCTGATATATAGTGTTTTACTACTCAAAAATCTATAAAATTTTTTACAATACAAAAAATTAAAATTAGTTCTATCTTTACAAATAATTAATATAAACTTCCTATATTCTTTTTTTTTTTTTATTCTTTTTTATAACTTTCTTTTATATATTTCTCCTTTCTTTCTTTTTTCTTTTTTTGCCAAAGTGAACTTTTTTTTTTCTCTAAAGATTTTTTTTTTTAAACATTTCTTTCTTTTCAATATACTGTCTTCTATTTTATTAATTCTCTAACTAGTAAACTTCCTTCTCTTAAAAATATACAAGAAATAGCAAATCTTCTATAAAATATTAGCTCTGGAAACTTTCTTTTCTATAGTTTTTCAGAAAAAAAATAGATAATTTGCTCTTTCAAAAGATTAACATGGCTATTATTATTTAATCCAATATTGTTTATTTGTTGATAGTAAGACTAGATACATTTAAAAAACTAATATACAATTATTATTATCTGAAAGTATTTAAGAAGTTGTACTTCACAATATTTAGAATGAACTAAATAGATAATATTTGTTTTCTTAAGTTTAATTATTTTTTTGAAAGCTATTAAGATTGTAATTGTTTTTTTAAAAATTATCTTAATTAAGATTATTTTTTTTTGAAAATTGTTTAAATTAAAATTGTTATTTTGAAAGTTAACAAATCTAAGACTTATAAAGTGACAAATTCTTTGTTATTCAGTTCAATATTTGAGTTTCTAACAATATTTCAATATTAAGTTAATATTGAACTTATTATAAGTTTAATAGAATAAATTATAATTCATATGTTAAATTTATTGTAATTTGATATTATTTTAATATTAGTTTGAAACCCTACTTTTTATTATTTTTATTTAACAAAAGTTAAGTATATTTATACATGTTTTCATTATTTCAATAATTTTATAACTCTAATTATTCTAATTATTTACTATATTTTAATCATTACAATTATTCTCTTTATTTTTCTTATTTATATTATAATTTTCAATATAGCATTATATTAAAAATAAGTTCTATTTCATTATAACAATATTGTTAATTTTATATTTAGAGTTTAAAAGATATTGAAATTGATATTAAAATGATATTAAAATGATATCAAATATTATTATAATAAATTTTAATACATGAGTCATAATTTACTTATATAAATTATAAGTTCATGATAAATTTAAGTATCAAATTAATATTGAACTGGTATCAAAATAATATTATTTAAAGTATTATTCATGTTTATTCACTTATTGTATATATAATATTACTGTATATGCTATACATGGTTTAAGTTATAGTATTATGAGAAATTCGTTATGTTTAATAAATCATTATATCTATATATTTTAAGCTTCCCATGAAAATATTAAGCTAAGTAATCAATGCGCAATTGATGTGGGAAAGATCTAGAATATAGTAAAATCCATACAATGCAGGTAGCTAGCATGTAAACAAGTTAAGCGCGTATAAACAAGACTATATTGTTGTCATCACTGGCGAGTCTGTCGCTAAAATGGCACACTCTTCGCGTGACGATAATCCGAACGCTTGGATTTCGGCACTAAATAAAGGTGAAACTTTAATTCTGAGGCAGTTACAATTTGACGCACTTGCTAATCTCTTCTTGACTATCTTTCCCTAGGCGTGTCTCAAGTGTCACTCTCTACATGGGGCAAAGGTAACTCAGTCTTTTCTCTTAAAGTTGTTTACTGTAGTGGAAATACTCTCAGTTTATACTTTAAGGAGTGTAAATGTGATTATGAGAAGTTGTAGCACTTATTCAATAAAGCGAGAGAAAGTGAAAGAGCGTTCCAAAACTCTAGTCTGACTATGACAAAACAGACTTTATTTGACTAAAACTAAAACTGACCATCCTACAAACGATGGAAAACTATCCTATTCATAGGCCGTCCACCCAGTTACATGTTATTACTAATAATTACATTGTTACTATTGTTACGCGACGCGCCTCAATGTCGCGTTCCCATCCTTATTCCCACAACAATATAATTAAGGGATTTAATTAGCATTCACGTTTAATAAATAAACAGTTGCGTGTCAAATACTTTAACTTTTTTAATAGGGCTGACAGGGAAGTCAGAAGATCAGTGTGTTTCTAGATGACGGTCAAGAGGGAGAAAGTTAGCAAGTATTGATATTGGCCAAGTAGAAATTGCCTCGGAGGTTCAAACGACCTACCTTCAATCATACATAACGCCAAAAATTATTTCAACGGACTCGCCGGTTACGACAACATAAAAAAATTTTTTTTGAAGATCCCTAATAATAAAATCGTTCATAAACACATTTATTTATTCTTTTAGCTGTTATCTGTTATGTTACTATCCAATTTTATTCTTTAACCCACCTCATGAGCTTAATTATGAGTGCAAATCATATTTGTAAATGCTTGACAAGTACTAATAAAATCCTAATTTTTTTTTATCTGGAATCAAGAAGTCAAAAATCCACAGATTGCTTGGTTCATAAGAAATTCGCACAAGTAACCCAAATGTAAGTATTGATAGGTTTGATCTATAGTCAAATAATCCATGTCTCAATAAGAAACACCATTAAAAGAAGAAATATTTTTTTAAATATATATAAGAAAACATAAGTTCAAAATAAAATTTTGGGTAAAATAATAATAATAATAAAATCAAAAAAGTAATTCAGAATAAAAAGAAAATGTGCTCTAGTTACAACAGCGCAGCCGAAATCTGCCAAAATTAAATTAATGGTTAACATAAGGTAGTGAAATATAAAATAAAAGCCGATCATGTTAGTATTAAAATAATTCACCAATTAACTGCTTTAACCATTTCCATTAGATCAACCCAGTATTTAGAGTCGCACCTTTTTTCGAGCTCGGTCAAAATTTCTTGATTTACAACGCCCTCCCAATTGCATGCCAACATATTGAATACACCTGTAATCACCACCAACTCATCTGTCTCAAGTCCAAAATCTAAAACTTCTTCCCAATTTTCTAAGTTTATCATGTCGACAAGTTTTCTTAACGCAAAGTTTTGAAGACTTATTACATCTAACATGACTGCCAGCTTAAAGAGGTCAATCGCTTGTTTTAAATCTATTTCCTCTTTGAATTTTCCAGAATAGAAATGGTACAGAATTCTACGAAAAGTATCAAACTCAACATTCTTAATTGGGATTACTTGCAATTTTGATTCTATCCATTCTCCTTCAAACATAGCTTTAAAATATGGGGATTTTGAAGATAGAATAATACGGTGGGCTTTGATTCGATCTCCAGAATCCAATATAAATTCGACATCAGAAAATTTTTCGTTACTAAAATATTCTTCGTAATAACAAACATTGGTAGTTTCAATATCTTCATCAAGAAAAAATTGTACATCAACAATGATGTTAACTTCGCTTGACTTTCCATTATCGATCAAAATCTTATTTAATGGATAGAATTTCCCAAAACCCCAGTCATGTCCTTTTTTATATGAAAAAGATGCATTCTTTATGACATGATAATTAGTGAGCGTACTAGGCGTAAATTTGTCTTTTAAACCACCAGAGCAATTCCCAGTTTTCAAAATTAAGGCAAATCTTTGATGACGGATAGAAATATTATTTGATTTTTCGTAAGTAGTCTGTACTGCCTCAAGAAATGTAGACATATATGATTCGCGGTCTTTATTATCACCATTTGGAAACATCTTTAGTCTCCAGCAGTTTTTCCTTGTGCTTTTGTCCTCGCCAAAATACTTTATATCCCCCCTGTGGAAAGGAACCCAAAAATCAGGGCTATAAAAACATTTTCCTGTATTTAAATTCTTAGCTTGTTCTTTTAGATTACAAATTTTCCAAGAATATGTGAAATAGGCTTGTTGTTTTAATGATGAACCTGATTTCTCGTCATCCATGCTGTCCAAGAATAAGTAAAGTAATTTTGATGAATGATCGACGAATGCCCACGTATTTCTACACATCAATCATGTGATCTTTGAATCATTTAATACATCGTGAGCATAAAGTTAAATACATAAATGATGGTTCAGCTTTTATTGATAAATGGTATCTCTATTGACAGTAACAAATTTCTTCACCGATGCTACGAATGTGTATTAGAAAATTTTTTACTTCAAGTAATATGAAATTGACTTTTATATATTATATTAAATTATATAAATATAATTTTTAAACTTATTTGGATTATTTAAAGAAAATAAAATTTTATTTAAATGTTAAATAAATTATAAGAAAGTTTCTAACATACTGTATATATATATTAATAAAAAAAAATTGTATAAATTTAAAATAAAATTTAATTTCAGTAACAATTGTATTTTTAATTAATTCATATGCATAAATTATATTTTATTATTATAAATTACAATTATATATTGCAAATGTTATTAATTAAAACTACTGTCAATTTTATTAAACTGAAGTGGTTGAAATTATATGTGATAAAATTAAATTAAAACATTTTTAAAAAACTATATTACTATTAAAAATATAGTAAATTAATTAGAAATTGTTTTTAATTAGAAATCATATTATCATATATGATAAAGATCAATAATACAACCATATATATAGTTGAAACTATTAATCAAAAATATTGAAAAAATTATTTTAGACAACTTTACTTAATAAATTCAATTTAATAAAATTATTTATAATAGATTGATTTTTTTTTGAACAAACTTTGGTTTAATAAAATTTTAATTAATATTTTTGTTTAATAAAGTAAAGTTTGACCATATATATATATTAATTTAATTACAATATATATTTATATATTTAATTAAAAAATTTTAATATTTATAAAATATTTTTATATATTGAAGTTTAAAATATTATATATTAATAAAATCTATATATCAATTATTAGATTTTATATAAAAAATTATATTTATATAATATTATATTTATAATAATTTGTATTTTTTTTTATTATTTTATTAATATTATTTAATTTATAATTATTATTAAATAATTTTGAACTTTTAATAT